CCCATATCTCTATCCATTTCTCATAATGTCCAGATAAAATGTCAAGATTAGTCTGACTTTTTCCCAGGTTACCCGAGATTACTTTGATCGAGGGTGGGGATCTTCTGCCTTTCACTGACTCCTTTGGGGAGAGCTCCATTTTATCATCAGTAGGGGTTTCAACTTTATTGGCAAAACTCTATAGTTGCCTGAAAGAGGAAGCTGGAGTACAATGAGTAAAATAGCCTATGATTTATTGCCCAAATCAGGATACTTTGTGAGGAAAAGTGGATGCTTAACTGATAGACTTTTATAATTTCAGGCTTAATGAAGAACTGTTCACAGCCAATGAGGCTGTCTGGTCAGCCTACCAGTGAAGAGAAAGAATGGGAAATGAGGAGGAGAAATAAGGCAGAAGAACATGATTGCAAACCAATCAACCAAACAACCAACCACAAACATGCATGCTCCCAAATCCATTTTGGTATGTCTGCTAACTGAGTAGCTGTCTGAAATTGAAGAAATTTCTCTAATGGGATAGTTTGTGGGCAAAGCTTAAAAGCAGTTTTCTCTTCTGTGCCCATGTCATGACCCAGAGCACAGCCCACTCACCAGCAAAGCTCACCAGCTGCACGTTTCTGTATCTCTAGACATTCACATGTCAGGATGGTTTAAGGTTGGTCATTTCACTCTCAAGGCTTTTGGGACTTTGAGTTACTACTTGTAAACATAAGGTGTATGTCTTCACTCTTGTGGATTTACTATTCTATTTCCTCCTGTTTCTTCTTGTCCACACGGCTGCTGTTTTAGAAGTTTAGTATAACTAGAAAAACTTTCTCTTCCTGTACAGGTCCAGACCTGAACAGAGCTGAGAGCTGAGTATTCCTTTGAGGTCCCAGCCTCTCCTTTTATCACGCTTTCCCTGCTGGGCAGGCACCTTCTCCGGGTGTAAGAGTTGAAACAGCTTCAGCACTCCCCCTCCAAGCTGTAAAAGTTAGTTAATGATCTATAATGTAAAAGTTACTTAATGTCATTGGTCAGTCTCATCAGCCAGTCCTCCCCTGGTTCTGATGCTACGAAGGCCATCATGACCCCAGGGTAAAGGAAAAACAGCAGTGGAATGTGTACATGTTAGAGATGTGGAGAGCCCCGCAGTTAGAGATTAGAGGGCTGGGTGATTGATGTGTAGCCAAAGATAGTCACTTTTAGAGAGGGTATAAGAGCTCTGTGAAGTTCTCTCAAAGGAAGGCAGGCTTTGAGAATGATCTGTCTGTCTTTCTGGGATACTGAATGTTGGTAGTGGCGATAACTTTAACCCACACAAGTGTTCGGCTCTTGTTTCTGGTTCCAGCACCCTGGTTACACGGGCCCTCCATTGCCTTGCTTGCTCTGACCCTGTACGCTTTGGACACTCTTCCCCTCTAGACATCCTTGTCTGCCTTTCATCCTCTAGGCTGGAAATGTCAACTAATATGACTTGAGCAAGTGTATTGTCACTTGGGCCTCTTTTAGCCAATGCTCCAGTTTGTTACATAAATATGACCCCTCTTGTGTTGGGAAGTATCTGGTGGACTATATATTTTGGGACTGGTAGACTTCATGTATTTTTAAAAATCCCGGCTCGGCGCCTATAGCTCAACTA